ACATTATATTTCACTTGAGCATGGCAACATCTGCACGCGCTCTAAAATAGAAGTATTGGTACAATAACATAGTACACTGTTAGTGTACAAAAAAAACTTTTACTCTTCTTTTATCTAATCAAAACCATAAGGTACTACTGACCTTACAAGGTGAGATGAAAAAACTGCAACCAACTTCAGACTGCTGTCATTTCTAAACCGCTCGTCCCACAGCTGTCAGATTTATTCTAGTGACAGCTCATTATATTGTTTACAAGCGCACAAAAGCATTTTGGTGGGAATTTTTCAAAAAAAAAGTTATTTGTGATGGAATTCAAGCGTGATAGTGTGATTGCTTTGCATTTGGCTGGAAAACCACAAGTGGCTATCGTTAGAGCCCTCCAGCATTTAGAAGTGAATAAATGTTTTGTGTCTCGTACCATCGCTCGTTACCATGATACTGGTAGCGTAGCCCGACGTCAAGGAAGTGGACGAAAAAAAACAGCAACATCGGCAGAAATGGTTCGAAAAGTGAAAAAGCGAATTGAACGAAATCCGCGTCGCAGTGGACGAAAAATGGCTCGTGAGCTGAACATATCGCAATATGCCATTCGGCAAATATTGAAAAATGAGCTTGGACTAAAGCCATTCAAGTTCCAAAAAGTGCAAGATCTTACTGATGCGCAAAAAAAAGTTAGACTCGAAAAAGCTAAAGAGTTGTTTCGCTTGGCCGAAAGTGGTGAACTGCCGAATTTGGTTTTCTCCGATGAGAAACCATTCGTTATCCAGCAGTTTGTAAACAAACAAAATGATCGTGTTTACTTGCCAGAGAGGTCAGCTGAAAATTTGCAACTTCGGTTGGCCATCACAACTCAAAAGCCGGCCATGGTGATGGTGTGGGCCGCCATAACAGCCGATGGTCGCTCGCCGCTCGTATTCATCGACCGTGGTGTCAAATTAAATGCGCAAATCTATCGCGAAAATATTTTGGAGGGAGTTCTGAAGCCCTGGGCACGCAAACATTTCGGCCGCAGACCTTGGACATTCCAACAGGACTCAGCACCATCGCACTCAGCACGCGCCATCCAAGAATGGTTAAGAAATGAGGTTCCTCGCTTCATTTCCACCGCACAATGGCCACCAAAATCTCCGGATGCCAATCCGTTGGACTATTGTGCCTGGGGTATTTTGGAAAGCAAGGTTGGAACTAAAAAATACCAAAGTGTCGATCATCTCAAGCAAGCGCTTCGCCGAGAATGGGACAAAATACCGCAGAGCCACTTTCGGGCCAAAGGTGGCCAATTCGAACAAATCTAAACCGATTCTCAAATTTGATGTTATTTCCGACATTTTTTGCTTTCATTCAATAAAATTTAAAAAAAATGAAAAAATTATGGCGTTTTACTTTGTTGCAGTTTTTTCATCTCACCTTGTATAGTCCATGCGGTTACTATGTACGTAAGTAACTTCTTACTAAAATGGTGAATTTAATTTTATTATTCAAGATTTCGTATATCATGATTTGTGTTGGGGTGTCTATTCGAACACATTCGGTTAATTAGTACTAATTTACAGATTGTATTTTCGATGACGTATGTTTTACACTTAGAAACACTGCAAGCATGACGATGACAAATTGGCACTCTAACCTACATATTCTTTAAGTTAAGACGCACTCTTGAATCTCACTACAAATTAGAGCTTCCCATGTGGATTGAAATTTCAGAGCTACTTTTCAACAATTATAATTCCAATTTTAAAATAATATGGAATAACCTATATACTATTCAAATATAGCGTAAGTACTGCAGGACTTGTTATAATTCTCTCGGGTAACTAGGCATCCACGCAGAGAAACTGCGCATTCCTTTTAAAACTCACTATGGAAGTTGTGAATACAGAGAAAGGAAACAATTTAGCATTTTCTCTGTAACGGCTTAGCTCTGACCTGTGGAATAAACAGGTTCTTAGGGATGTATTTTTTGGCAGTATGTTAGATTCTTAATTCTTAATTATTAAATTATCTAAACTTTGAAGGGATGGATTTAGCTTTGTTATATTATCTTTTAAGATCCGTTACAAGGCGTATGTAAGAATGGGGTGAAGTTGCTAATTATGGACAGTGAGGGGATATCTGTTAAGCTGTCATTGTAATCAACTAACTAGCCTATATACTGTGTAAGTATAATGATAAAATTTAGTGATTCACTTTGAATTGAAACTATTTATGAGACTAAATCCTAAAGGGTCACAGAGGCGTTGTACATTAGATACAATTGAATTGCATTGAGAAAACATAATTAACTACATGTTAAGAAATAAAATTTAAAATATGATTTTTTACGTAGGTTTCTTAGTGAGTGAGATTTAATTTTAAATAATTTATGGCTGTAACACTTTTCGAGCCATAAGAATTAACGCAATTAAATTTATTATTATATTTTAAGTGAAATAAATTAATTAAACTTATAAAAAACTAAAGGTTGTAAATCAAAATTAAAGTGCCTCACAGCTGTTAATACTGCCAAATCCTTTTTGACACTTGGAGTTAATTGTATGCAATTTAAATAATAATCGTCCGCTTTATTTTTATATTTTTCTAAAGGCAACTGTAGCAGTCACACCAGCAGTGGCAACAACAACAACAACAGCGATACTGCTAATAATAACAAAGCAAAACCGCTAACTCAATTGCCATACGAATATATCTGTGTTACCATATCAGCATGGCAAGCAAGCAAGCAAGTAGCTCACAAGTGGGTACCACATAACGTATGAGTAAATTTATTCGTTCAACGACAGTTGCACTTCTGATATTTTATATTGTGTTTTCAAAATTTTTGTGTCGTTGGCAACACTAAAAATTAGCACGACAGTTACAAAAACAACAAAATTAAACCGAAAACTGTAATAAAACAAATATACGACAGCGACTTTGCTATGGTGTGTGTGCGTATGTGTGCGTTCGCTGCAATTATACCACAGTGTTTGCTATTGTCATTGCTGGTGATGATGCTGCTTTTGCATGAACATACTGCACTCCATACATGTTATAGCACACATACGCACAACTACACATGCACACATATGCAAGTACACTTAGAATTATAGCATTTCAGTAACTGCTGACAAGCGTAATTTTGAAATTATACGCGAATTTATATGGAACTTTTTTTTTGTGTTTTTTTATTTTCATATTACAACATTGTAATTTTTGGGAATATTTTAATGCAGTTAATTAGCGCAGCAAAATTCAGATTTAACTTTTTTGTGTGGGTCGTTCCATGCAGACAATATTTCTGTTTGTGTAAATATAAAAATTCAGATTTTCATATATTTTTGTGAAATTGAAGAATATTTGCTATTAAAAATTATGCAGCAAAAATAGTAGTAATTGCATTCTACTAATTACATGTTGAGTCAAAAGTTATTAACAAAAATCAGTATTGTTATATAGGTAATCAAATATTTTATAAATTAATTAAAACTGCTGAATTAGTTGCAATAATCTATGAAATGTTTACTGATTGTATTTCAAACATTAATTCTGCAAAGTATTTTCCAATCAAAAGTCATTTAAGTGACTCAAGAATGTTTAATAAAATTATTATTTACAAAATGTATCTATGAAATTATTTTAGTTTCACTAAAAATTAAGAGATGGGTGGGACTCTGCAGAAACCTCACAGCTATCAAAGTGTAAAAGTGCCCAGATGCACTAACTCGGAAAAGGCATTAGACTAAATATTAAAGCATATATTTAACAGAAATTGATAAATATTTGGTTTAATTACTATTTACTATTAGCTGATCGAAAAGTCAATTATTTCAAACTATTCAATAATATTTATTTAATTTTGTATTTATTTGTTTTTCTTCGTATTTCGAAATTATGTAGCATTCGAAGTTATTTATGTTTTAAAATATAAAATAAAATTAATTTATTTTCATTATTTTATTATTAAGCTAAAGGTGAATTACATAAAATACACTTATTTTAATTGTTTTTATAAAATATTTCATTGCAAATTGCATTTAATTTATTGCAATAAGTTAAAACCTTATAATAAATATAAGGAAAAGCTTAAAATTCATTATAATTTTCATTTGATATGTGAAATACGTATTTTATGTGTATAATTATGAAATAAGTATATTTTATTTCATATATCATCAAAACATTTTTATTGGTGAAATAGTTTTGCGGCATAATTAACTCTAAAAATAAAATAAAATCGATATTTTATTTAAATTTATTGTCAATATTTGACAAACTAGCATATTTTATTAACTCTTGAACAGAATTATATGTTTAATTTGGAAAAACAATTTAACCATTCGAAAATTAAAAAAAATAAATTAAACAAATTAAAAATAATAATTCATTTTCTTTAAATAATAATTTTTTTAACTTTGAATTATAAAATAAAAAATTGATATTTAAGTATGAGTCATTTTTTATATTTGCTAGCGCGAATTTTATCTCGGTTGATGAATTTTATCTTGGCTGGTCAAATATTTAACATGTAATTTCACAACAATTTATCATTGTATACTGCCTTAGCCATTTATATTATGTTCAGACACACCTTAATTTCGCAAAAATCTTAATTTCATCTTTGTTTCAGAAAATTAAATTGTTTTTTTCCATACAAAATTCAGTTTTTAGGTTAGAACGAAATTAAGGAAAATGAGTTTGAAAGTTCCTATTCACTGGTTCCTCTAGTTATCTCGAAATCTGGACATGCTTTTTTTATATTAGTCAGCAATAGAGGTAATTGCGATTTTTGAAACAAACTTGTAGGTTCTAGTATTTTATTAACTAAATAATTAACTAAAGTGTTTTGCATTTTTTTTATTTATTTTTTAAATCATATAATACTTATAATAAATAAATACATAATGTTAATTATGACAATCAGTGACGTAATTAATGGTAAAGACAAGCAAGGTAGGTAGAGACATATCATAGCAATTATAGACAATCGTAGGTTTTCTGTTAATACAACCACACCATCGGGGGTGAATAAATACAGATAAAGACAAGCAAGGTAGGTAGTGGAACGTTCAACAATTATAGAAAAATACGTTTTTACACTAAAATTAACCACACTTTTTTGGGCACTTTGGTTTTTTTGGTGGACATTTTGGTTTCTTCTTAGGGCATTTGGGCTTCTTTTTCTTAGGACATTTTTTGGGACACTTGGGTTTCGGTACACGCTTCTAAATATTCAAAAATAATAAATTTATTTGTAAAAATCAAGAACTTTAATTTAAATAAAAGAAATTACCATTTCACGATACTTTTTCTTTTTGTCTTCACATAAACGATTCCAACGCATATAACCCTTACGTACGGTTTCTACAGCGTTAAGTCCAGGATGGCATGCACGATATTCTCTTAAGAAATTAAGAAAGCCACGACTGGTTAATGGTCCACCACGAGAACAACAAGGCTTGGGCTTAGGCTTGCAACTAGGCTTCTTCTTTTTGCACCCCATATTTGATTTGTATAGTGAAAGATCGAACAAACAGCAACGTTTTTGTCTAAATTGCCTTTATAACGAATTCAGTCGTTTTAGATAACAAATATGATGAGTCAGGTCACTATTTTCTATATATAAAACTTCTTCTACTACTCAATCAGTAATAATCGAGCAAATTTCAGTTCTTCTTGTAAAAGACCTTATGACTTCTTGATATTGCATTAAATTGAAAATAGATTGTCTCGTCTTAACTGAATGTTATTTTCTAGTTCCTGTTCTCACCAATCAACTATTGAGAAGGTTCTATTTTCTCTATTGTTATTATTATTTAAAAGACTAACAATAGTCTCGTCTAAACTGAATGTTGTTTTGTAGTTCTTGCTGACACCAATCAACGATTAAAAAGGTACCGCTTCCTCTATCCAATGCTTCCGAACTTAACAAGTAATTTTCTACCGTTAAGAGATTGAAAAACTCCTTCGTCTCAAATTATCACAATCAACATTAAGAATTTTATAATTAAATTAATCTGGAAGCAGAAGCTAAAGAAACATAGTTCGGTTAACATCAATGGATCTGTGATTGTAGCTTTATTAAGTATATATCATCTGCTCTTTGAACTACTGTAACTACTGTTAATTTTTTTTGACGAATATTTTGAAGATCATGTAATTTTTGTAGACTGAAAAAAGTCGGAATAAATTTTGGAAACGCAATGTTACTTGAAAAAAAATTTGAAAAAAAATCTGTAATCTAAAAGATAAGTTTTGTAATGAATATTTCTCATTCAATATTGTCAATGAAACATCGATTTTGAAATATATTTTGACATTGAATAAAATTAACCAACTAGAAGTATGATGACACTATTAAAAAAGTAGTTGTTTTTTCAATTATACTTTTGAGTGTTCTGCGATGGTATAAATCATTATGATTTTTACTACTTTTAAAAATAAAATGATCAATTCGATTGCGACTATTAAAGAAAATTGGCTGATGGTATTATATTATAGACCATACATCAGTCAGGCTTAGAAAAAACTTCCTTCAGGCTTAGAGTATCTTCCTTTGTATTTATTGTTGGTGTTTGATATATAGTTATAAAGAGTTATAAAAAATATTATGTATCTTAAATTTGTTAAAAATATTATGTATGCTTAAATGAGATAATTGAATTCTAATGCAAACAACTTACAATTAAATCCAATGTCCGTGGCTTAAAATTGAAAATTTTGTTCATTCAAGATTTAGTTAGATTTCCAAACACCTATGAGTAATATATGTTGAACAATATTAAAAATAAATTTTATTTTGAATCAAATGCAAATTATTTTTAATTGTAATAATGAAAATATAATATAATATATATATTGCATATAATAATTAAAATAGTTTGTATGGTGTTAAATAATTCCATGTTGTGTTTAAAGGAAATAATTTTATATATTGCAGTTTCAGTTCTTACGCATAGTCTTCACTTGTACGATGGCGGAATGGGTCTAATACATATATCTACTTTATTGGTTATCATATAATATATAGATAGATATATTGATAGATTATATTAGATATAATCAAAATATTAGATTAAATGACAGAGCCATAATAAATTACAACTTACCTTGAGAGGGACAACTTAGTCTTGATTTCTTTAATTAAAATTTATTTGGTTCAAAATTTGGTTCTGACTTCGCTCGATCACACAAACTGGCGATAGCGAGCTGTTGAACGAATTGCCTGGCGGAGGATACTGGATGCAACCAAGTACAGGCTTATCACAGCCCATACAGTAATTTGAAATTTTGGTTCTATGAATTTGTTATAGTTTCCTAAAAAAACTATTTAATGATTTTGAGGAAAGAAAATTATTTATTTAGAAAATTTTTGATGACTTTTGTAATAAAAAAAAAATGTTTATGGCAATAAAAATTTTAAAAATGCTTTTATTATGAAAAAAAAAAGTATTTTTATGGCAATAAAAATTTTAAAAATGCAGTGATGATATGATAGTTCTTAAATCAAACATATGTTAAATTATGTTTTTTCGATTTTTATACAGATTGTCTAAATTATGTATATGTTGTTTAAGATCTTAAACGTTGTTGAGGAGGTTAGTATCACATTAACATAATTTAGTTACTTATATTCTTCACATGACAAGTTTAATAGATTATAACAAGTTTTTAATGTTTATTTAGAAGAAATAAAAGACAATCCACTAGTTTTAGCTAAAAGTTTATAAGTCAATATGTGATAATTATACATAGAACGACAACTAGTTCTTATAAGACTTTACTTTCAGTCTGCTAAAAATATCGTATCCACTAATCATTGCTTCCTTTCTATAGGATGTAATGTTAATGAATGAAATAGAAAAGCAAAGTAAGATGCATATATATATTATCTTTAATAAGTATTGCTGACTAGATAGATAATGTACACTGCAACTTCTTTATTACCTGTCAAGGTTCTTTAATATAACTGTTGTGATTTGCTTTTAAAATTTGGTTTCCAAAAGTAAAGTTTGAATAAATTTTAGAAACAAATTGCTTCAAACAAAAAAAATATTTTTGTGAAATAAAAATTTCGTTTAGCTTAATAATATTATTTTAAAGAACATAATAATTGGTTACTTCAATTAAAATTCTTTAATAAAATAAATTATTATTTTACTAGAGTTATGACCATGTTATACATACAGTCATGGTCACGTCAAATATGAAATTGTTGTTTTCAATGTAAATTAAGAGGTCGAAAATCACAGAAAGGGGGAAATAACGATTAAAACTTGGTGAAAAATTATATTTGGACTAGGCTTTATTTGTCTTATTACGTTAGTCAAAACTGTGATAGTTGCTAATACATATCAGAATTAGGTCCTGTTAGACGCAGATGTTTGTATTTTTGTAAGTATATGATTTCAAGTGAATATGAAAATTTTGTATAGAAATAGTATTTAAGCTATTTCGGTCAATTATTTTTACTACACAAAATTTTTAAATGCTTATCATTTACAGAGTCTGAGATAAAGCTATTTTAAAATTGATCCAAAATGTAAACGTTCCAAACTCCGTGGACGACCATCTTCTAGGAACAGAAGTTTTATCTTTACGAGATATGGGTACTTTTATTTGAAAAGTATGAGCTCATAAAAGATAGTTTCAGAAAATCGGAGGTGATGTCCCAATACCTCTATAAGGTCTATACTTAATAAGTGGTGGGCTATATTGTTAACAGGTTTTTTTTTTGTTCAATGTTGACTGCATCTGCCACATCTTCGTATGCAGTAGTTTTTATTTTTAATTGCAGATGGTATCACATACTTATATAGGCTTTGTAGCTTTTGTTATTATCATGTTTTACTCTTTGATAGTTAGGGGTCCCACCTATCTTACTGATTAATTTGTGTATTCTTCATAAGCTTCGTGATTATTCAATGACTAATCTAAGAACTGAGTGCCGCCCAGTGCGGTTAGTGATTACTCTGAGATTAGCTAGTGCTAAGTAGGGCATCCTGTCGGTTTTCGCATATACCTTCAAAACTCTGTCCCTTATGTATTATTTGATTGGATTTATTCCAATGTCTCTTAGCATGTCATTCGTGCGGATGAACCATGGTACTTTGAAGAGTCTTCGGAGAGCCTGACTTTAAGCAACATGTAGCTTCTGGATATTAGTGTCGGCAGCTTTGCTATACGCGACACACCCAGAAAGTAGTGCTCGTCTAATTATCTGGCTGAAGATCAGCTTTCTGTTTTTCGCAAAAAGTTCGTTCAACAAACAATTGTTGAGTGTAATTTTATCGCTTAGTTGTTATCTTAATTTTGGAATTAGGTGTTAGAACTGTATGACTATAATCTATAATCTTGACTTTCAGATACCGCTCAGGTTGATCAGACCTACAGTTTCTCCCATATTATTCATTGCAGTGTTTGGCTTGATTAAATAAAGGTTTATATTATAATTTTGTTTTGAGATATTTGTATTCGCGTTAATGACATTTGAAGTCTTATGTGAACTAACCTTTTGTTTGATTGTACTTTAGGCTCCGAAATCAAATGATTTTAATGCAATAGTATGTGTGAAGCGAATAGTTATCATAGTAATGGTAATAAATAAAGAAAAAATAATTTTATATAATTATTTATTTGGAAATTTATATATGATAATGATATGTACCATATATGAAAAAAAACTATTATGTATACAAATGGTAAAATTATGGACACTCATTAAATATTTTAGGTTTATAATTTCAATTAATAAAAAAAGAAATTTTTTATATAAATAATAATAAAGTTACAAGTTATATATATTAATATATTATAGATAATTAAATTTTGAAAACAAATTTTATTTAATTAATAAAGTATAATAAAAAATGTTGCAAAATACACTCTTTTAAAATAAATAATAATAAAGTAAAAAGTTATACATACTAAACAATTACAAATAATTGAAATTTAAGAATAATATTATTAAATAAATAAAATATATTAAAAGCTTAAATTAATGTTACTCAATATAGGATTCCATTAACAACGTGAGAAAACAACAAAGCATTTATAATTTTAATTTTTTTTGTAAATATATTTTAAGCCCAAAATGTAAACAATTACTAAATAATTGATTTAACAATTATTTTAATACAATTATTATATTATCAATATTTGACTATTTATTTAGTCAATTTTAATTGCTTTATTTAAAAAAGTGTGAAAATCAATTTATTTTAATATTTTTTTGCTGTTTTTTTTTTTGTAGCGGATGTTTTCATTTAGTAAATTTGTTTATATGTTTAACAACGGAGTAGAGAAGGATAATAATATAGTATTAATGTAATTTGAATTAATACAAATATTATTAATTAGCTACATTTAAATAGAAAACGCTAAAACGTATCCTACAAAGAATTGGCAAAACATTTTCATGACATTTTTGTTATTATTATTTTATATTTATTTAATATAGTTCAATAATTTAATACTATGGTATGACTTTAATTGCTGAAATTTATAAATTAATGTTTCTCTAAATACCCTGAAATATCATGAACTAACAATTTTGTAAGTTTCAGCACTGCAAAAATAACTGACGCTGGTTAGGTAGCACTGTTTCAGTATCTTATATCAAAAATAATATTCATCGAAGGCACTAAGCGTTCACTTTAAGGCCTTTTATGAATCGTTTAACAACCGCTGAGCTTGTAAAAAGCGTAGAAACATAGTATGGACGTTGTGAATTCAGGAATTCAGGGAAGGAATTAAGTGATGAGATTTTTTTTTACGCTTATTGTACGTATCAATCAATTTCTAATTTGGGGTTGTGAAAGTTCTTAAGTAATTGTTAGAAGATATATTTGGTTACTATATTTACACAAACTCACGGATTGGTATAGCATTAGGCCTGTCTCTTTTTTTCAATGACGTAGGTGTGTTAAAAATCGTCAGTATTGATCACTATAGTCATTTTACTAATGATTTTGTGTATTAAATTGTAGATATAAATTCCCTACATTAAACATTCATACTTGAAACGATCAAATTTGCCTGCAGTGAACAAGCCTACAAGGTGTCAATTTGGTGATGTCAGTTTTTACTTACGATCATTTTTAAAAATGTACAGCCCTATAAAAATTTATAGTCAAATAAATAACTTTCAATCTAACTATAAATGTTGAATCTCATTGTATTGCAATATTAAATATAAATAATACATATTTTAATTAAAAATCTTCGAATTATTTCACACTAATTTGATGAGACAGTTCTCTTTGGTTGGTCGGTTGTACTGACTGATCAGCTGATATCTATTACCCTCCCCATAAATAATGTTATTCACTATATAATATTACATTTCTACCAAAAAATGTCTAAAGGTAAAACTAAAACCAATGTTTTAAATACATGCAACTTAACAGAACTTTTATTCTTGATGATAAGTAGTCCGATAAACTGTCAATAAAGTACTTTCCTTAGACATGTTAACGTAGTCAAACCTAGGCAATCTCAAGGAGTTATTGTTTCTATTCCTCTCCAGTTTTGACAAGTTTTATAGTAAGTCTTAAGCATAAAATGCAATTTCTCACAAATCATATGCAGGTTTTATTCTACTTTAATGTGTACCAGTGGTCAGGGAAACAACTATCACAAGATAACCAGTATCGATGCGTTCACTTTTAATGGGTCCCCAAGACCCAATTTTATTACGCGAATGCCGTGTCGACCGGAAAGTAACACATTGAGTTCGTTACTTTCACGTTACATTAATTAGATGAAGAAAGTGAAGCTTAGTATTCCTCCTAATGATGTCCAGGATAATGTAAAACTGCACCCCTGAAACAATACCCATAGAAGCACCAAGTGTAATCATATCGTTTGATTTTTATTCCTCGAAACCTTTTAAGTGTCGAATATCCATAGAAGTATCAAGTGGAGTCATACAATCAGATTTTTATTCTCCTGCAACGTTCAAATTATCGGTAACTTCGGTAAGAGTTATGTTAGTGAAGTGTTTTAAGTCGATGCCTCGATTTGAAAATATTAAGTTTTAGATAAAATAATTGTTTTGGGTACTATAACATTAATAGTTGTTTTTCTGTTTTCTTACAAATAATAGACACTTCTAATGAATTTTTATGGCTTTTTTAAATTAAATGGTAAGAAACTTGAGCTTATACATGTAGTGTCGTAATTAAATGGGAGGGGTGACCTTGGGGGGGGCTTGAAAAGCTCTATCTCTCTTCAAAATATCGGATTATTTTACACCACTCATATTAGATATCTTCAAATAAATATTTTAGTATGTAGTTAAAATTGGTTTTCCAAAGGACTCCAATAAATGAGTTGCAGTCTGTGGCATTGTATATATGTATACGTAAAAACATTATGATTTATTTATATGAATATCATATTATACCTATAGTATAGGTAAAATATTTTATACTATGTTTATATTATGTTAACTTTTATTACATTGTTCTAAATTATATTTAAAAAAAGTACTTATAAATTTTGATTTTATATAAAATCTGTTGTATTTACAAAAGCACATTTACTGGATATAATTTACCAAACAATAAACTTATTATATTATAAAGTAAACACAAAGAAAGGGTTTGTCTGTATTTTCCAATTTTAAACAAAAAAAGTCATATTAAAATCCTACGTGACTCTAATAACTCCTGAATTGAGACGCATGCTTGGTCGGGAACATATGCACCAGCAAACGCCGTAACTCAGGTAAACGCAAAAGTTGCTTTTAACATCAATTGAAATGCAGTATCTTTGCCGCAGTATCTATACAGTCGTTTTAGTAATTTGTTTTCTTATCTAAAAGTAATTTCACTCAAATGACATTGCGTTTTTCCAAACAGAACTTACAGAACTTACAGAACTCAAAGCAAAACATAAACAGCGCATGAAAGCACCTACGTTGCCATTGTGTGTGGAAATAAACGTTGCAGGACTAAATGTATACGAAGCAAGGAAGCACGCAACTCCA